CCCCCCCGTCCCTCACCCCCGCGGGGCTGCTGGAGTGTCCTCGCTGCAGAGGCGGGTCCCCTGGGAGGAAGCCACCCAGTCTCGCGTCCCCGAGGCAGCCGCACCGCCGCTGTCCCTTCCTCCGAATCCGGTCCTTCCTCAAGGGCTGTGAAGGGAAGGCGGCTCCCTCGGCCTTTGCAAGGAATCCGTGCACATGTTCGAAAACCAACCGCAACAATGTATCATTAGCTCGTTTTCTGTGTTGTTGTTAATCTTCACCCGAGGATACTTTTTCCGTTGACTTTTAGGGAGCGTGGAACGGAGGGGGGAGGGGGAGGAGAGAGAAACACGGGGTCGCCTTCCGCACGCACCCCAACCAGGGCCGGGGACGGAGCCTGCAGCCCAGGTACGTGCCCTTGGCTGGAATCGAACCTGGGACCCTTCAGTCCGGTTCTCTGACCACTGAGCCAAACCGGCCGGGGCGAACCCTTAACAATTCTAAGATTTTGTAACATTTTTAACTGTATTGCCCGTAACAGGCAGCACTATTTTCCTCCAGGTCAGGAGAGAGAACGTTTTCAACATTTCACCAGGGAAACAGGAAACACCCATTACAGAAAACATCGGTGACGGCAGAAACCGGGGAGAAACGAGCGCAGCCCCCAGACGGGCGCAGGGAAAAGGGCAGGGGGCAGGTGGAAATACACGGCCTTGGGCTGAAAGAGGGACCTGATGGCTGCGAGCAGATACCACAGGGTGTTTGCTTGTTTTTAATGTTTTTATTGATTTCAGAGAGAGGAAGGGGGTGGGGGAGGGAGAGAGAAACCTCAGTGATGAGAGTCATTGATCGGCTGCCTCCTGCACGCCCCCGAATGGGGATCGAGCCCACAACCCGGGCCTGTGCCCTGACCGGGAATCGAACCCTGAAATCCTGGATCCTAGGCCGATGCTCAACCGCTGAGCCACGCCGGCTGGACCTGACCAGATGTTTTAAACAAGGCTGTGTCGACCCGTTTGAAGTGGGTAAATTCCTAGAAAAAAATACAAAACTAACTCAGGAAGAAGCAGAAAACGCAGCTAACCCCACACCCACGGGAGGAAAGGACTCGGTGGGCAAGACTTATCTCAAGGAGAACACCAGGCCCAGCTGCCTTCCCAGGCAAGCCGTCCAATAGGATCCCAGGAACAACCCAAATACCACGCACGTTTTT